TCAAAACGGATGCTATAGGGCAACAAATAAAAACCGACTAGATGCTACAAGATATTTTGTCAGTATTATTTCATTGTTTGAAATGAAATCGCACGGAACAGTGAGGTAGTGTAATTCCAATTTCAGCATTTATATACCTTAAAATGTTCCGCGAAAAAATATCTCACAAGTTTACAACAATAATCAGTCATAGACTTCCCATTAGAAGTACATCCGTCATGTAAACATCTCCTGATTTCGGTTGCATGTTGAGACCTTTGTTATTTGTCTGCGTTTAAAACTAGACTGTGATTGGCCACAGATAAAAAAAAAGGAGAGGTTCCTAAGGCGAAACTAAAAAAGAGTCCTGGCTGTAAGTACAAGAATTGAGGAAACTCGACGAGGAACGGTTCAAGAAACTCACCGAAACGGATAAGGGCTCGTGGTTGAAGCGACGCACACACGGTCATCAAACATTAACGAGTTCTGCCTCAGCGTGCTCAAGCCGCTTTTGAGTTAAAGAAAAAATTCAAAACAAATTGCCGTTCAGCGGATTATTTAACTACGGTCTGGTCCGGGCATCTATTATCCGCAAAATATGTTTTTGCTGAGAGTCTCCCGAGACAACGCGGGACACTTCTGTATTTCTATTGGTGGTCGGCATTGTTGGCAGAGCTTTGTAAGCAAAAAGAAAAAAAAAAAGATGCTTTTTACTACGCGATAAAAGACAATATAAACCATACAGTTTGCCTTGAAATTTGGTTTTCGGACTCCCCAACATACCAACCGCAAAACCCGGTGGGGGTTCCATTTTTTGAAATGGATCTGCCGCAATTGCCCTGATGTAAAAAATAATAATAAATACTAAAAATCCCTTAACCCTGTTCGAGATTTTTTTTTCGGGTATAAAGAAGATAACGTTATAAGAGAAATATGTTTGTTAGTTCTTTGTTGCTGTTGTTGTTTTTTTTATCGATCTACCTTGACGTCCAACCACAGGAGACCCAAGCTCTTACAGTAAGCATCTGCGAATTTGCAAATATGTTCTCGTTAAACAATGGGTTGATGAAATATAAGGATTCGCATGGTAATAAACAGTCGTGCTCTCAACATTAAAAGATTTGGATTAGTTTTGATTAGGGACAAATTTAACCCCCTAATTGTTTGTTCTTTTACATCTTGTGAATTTCTTGTGGCTGGTTCAGGGTAATTTAGCTCGGGGTTAGTTCATCTCCTTTTCCCTTTACATAATACTTTCTTAGTTACACCTGCGAGTAACGTCAACCAAAGGAATCCCTTGAACATTCGCGAAGATCAACCGTATCCTTAAAAATGTTTTCGATATGTAACAAGTTTTGTTTAGCTGGTTGCGGAGATGCTGCATTTCTTTCTTTCAATTTCTTAGACAGCTCTTTAGGGAAGATAAAAAAGTCATGGGTAGATTGTGGCGAATAGTCTAACTTGAAATCTAAGAAACTCTTTTGTTGTTTCAAATGTTATTTTCGACATAACAATAAAATACTTTGCCCATTTTCTCTTCTACAGTCATCCTTCATTTCATGGTGGAATTGCCAGGAACAGGTGAGGCAGTGTAATTACAATTTAAAATTTAAGTATCTTAAAATGAACTGAAAAAAAGGATCTGACTGAATTATCAAAATAATTAGTCAGACTTCCTGCTGGAATGACATCGTTTTCGATTAAAAACTTTAGTTGGAAAGCAAAACAAAAAAGTCAGAGACTAACGGTGCTATTACCCTGATTTCCCAATTTCCACTTTTAAAACCTTGCCTAATTCTAATTTTTTCTTCGGTGAGGTAGAGGGTTTTGATGCCCATTGTTTTATTTATCATTAATGGTATATTTTTTTCTCTTCTCCATCTTTACCGTTATTACTATTGTTATCATCAGTATACATTTTTTCGTTTATTTATTTATTCCTTTGTCTCCATCATCAGAATTATCACTATTGTTACAATCAGTATACATTTTTTTTCGTTTATTTATTCCTTTAATTTTTTTCCCGTAGAGTGCCAAGCAACCTGTTTCAAAAACTCATCCTACATATTTTCGAAAAGCGGATTTGATTGGCTTGACAACTTGCGTGTCTGTCACTACCAGAGAGGTGACTTAGTCTCCATCGAAACTGAAGAAGAATGGCAGTTTATCAGTCATGAGATTCAAAAGCGTGGTACTTCGAATACTAGTGCGTGGCACATTGGTTTATGGAAGAGAAACGGAGGTTGGACATGGTTGAGTGGAGAAAAACTAAGTATTTCGAAATGGCGAGATTCTCAGCCAGATGGTAACGAAAATTACGCGGAAATATCTATGAATGGAGGCCTCTTTAATGTTATCTCTTGGGCTGATATAAACGCCTTCATTTGCGAGATACCCGGAGGTAAGATCACATTCCAACCGTGAAGTATATTATGAGCTGAAACTTTAGCAGTATTGCACTAGTGTCAGGAAAATTTCTCTTGCTTCTTAAAAGTAAAAATTTTGTTCACATAATATGCTCGGCTCACCTAACTTGTACGTGTGAGCGACGAATGAACTTTTAAGCGTGTATCAGTAGTTGAACATAATGGTCATGACAAAAACGGGGACATATGTTTCGAAAAAAAAACGATCACCCTGGGATTTTCCCTTTTTGCATCGCCTGCAGCTGGAAAAACAGCGATGGAAACTGTACATTTCACAACTTTTGTCGAGTGCGCTGAGATTGGGATAATCTAACCAACGGAATTTTCCCTTGCCACAAGTTACAAGGCGTGATAACTGACGTCAGTGAGTGAATCCGTGTTCTTTTAAACATAACGCATCGAAGTACGTATGCCCAAGGTCTTGAGTACCGGTACTGAAGACAGAGTGCACAGTTTTTACCGACCTTAGCTTATGAATAACAGTTTTTTTTCTTTTAAACTCAACGAAATATTTTCCAAAAGAACCCTAATGATTTAGGGCTGTAATTACGGCAAGATCCTCCATGAACTGAACAATTTTTGAACGAGTAAATGGTAGTTGAAACAGACTGAGGTAATGCAAATTAAATAGAGGCTTTACCGAAATATTTTTATTTGTGTAATGGAAAAGGTGATTTAAAAGGCTTCCAAACAAACGTTGAAACTTTTTTTTTTTAACAAGTATCTGTCACAACCTGACACCTGTAAAGTTGAGAGCGTGTAAGAAACAAAAGTGCATGCACGTTTTAAAAAAAGAAAACAACAACAACATCAACGGCACTGGTTAGGCAAACAAACTAAAGTTCAATGTCTGTCCCGGAAATTTTTTCTTTAAAAACAGTCAATGATCTTACAGAAAGTATTACTCACTTCCATCAACTATTGATGAACGAAGTATAGCTCTGTTCAGTCGGTAAATGGAAAGTAATTGTAAGTAAATTTAAATCTGTTTCGAGATTGAGGGAGTTTGCTCGTTTACTTGGTGCAATCGCGTGTGTAAATCTGGAATTGTGGAATTTTAATGCCGCTTTTTCTCGTTCATTTTCTGATGTGAAGTTTGCGGTACAAATGTCCATATTGAGCGGACTTGCAGATACTTGAAGATATCGCTCACTGTTTTATAAAGAACAAATTGTTTGAACGATTTCAGATATAAAATGAATGAAAACCCCATCAATTAATTCAATTTTAAACAAATACGTTACTTTCTAACTTCCTGAGTTACTTCTAGTGAAGGTCTAGGTTAATTACAAACGGTTTTTATTCCGCGTGTCAACCCATTTAATGGCATATTTGCTACCAAAAATCATTTCAAAACCATTATTTTTGCCGGCAGCCACAGTGACTTGAGAAAGAGAAGGAGAGAATTAATAAGTAATTAATCAGCTTGATTTGCACAGTGACTTGAGAAAGAGAAGGAGAGAATTAATAAGTAATTAATCAACTTGATTTGCTTTAAAGTGATTTACGTAAAAATACTTCTCAGCTGGCAAAGCGAAATATATTTATGAAAAAAGGCAACGAAGCTAAGGTTGTAGCTAGCAACTCGAGCAAGCGTTGCAGTGCCGCTGAGCAGACAAAAGAAAATCCGGACCGCATCAAGAACCACAAAGATTGCAGGACTCGTTACCGTGCCCTCTTAGAAAAACAAATAATAAATACAGCTATTTGGGAGAAGTTTTCGGGAAAAAGCGTGTCAGAAGTGCAAGCGATAACCTTGACAGGTATTGTGGGTGGCTTTCAGGTCATGGTCAGGCGACCTCAGGATTTCAGGGAAATCTGAGAAAATGTCATTTTAAGGACGAGTCATCACGGGTTTGAACCTGTTTTTAATACGACTGACTTTAAATTCCAAACTGCATGAAAAATGGAAAAAAAAGTACAAGCAAACCCTAATTAATTTATCTTTACTTACTTTACATGTCAATGTTGATTACCGCCACCTAGATAATCTTTTGATTTTGTCGCATGTACTTTAAATTGTTGTTTTTGTTTTTTCCACAACCTTTCCCATAACAACTGTATAGGGTGAACCGCGTATCTCCAGTTGCACATTTATAAGAACTTACATTCACATTTAATTTTACGTTTTTTAAGTCTGTTCAGACGGGGGAGGAAGAATAGGGGGCGGGGTGAGGGTGGTGTCAGCTCAACAAGGAAATAATTAATTTTCAAAAACTCGACTACCAAAATTACATGAACTCACAGATAATCTTAGCTGATGTGAAGTTAACTAATTCAGAAAAGCAGGTTAGAGATGGCGGACGCCGTAAGGAAGAAAGATGTATAGTATTAATTGACAATGATCAAACATAAACTGGAGGTGTTAAAAAAAAAAAAACAGGAATCATATAAAAAAATCATATAACTGTTAAAAAATAGGAATTGTATGAAAAATAAGCCCCGTTTTCTTTCTCATTTATTTTTCTCCTCTATTGTGATTGTGATTTTAATCTTTTTATGTCATCATCATCATTATTATTTATCACTTTGATTATCATTATGATAATTAATATTTTTTGCTTTTATTTTTATCATTTTGTAGAATGCCTAACTTTTAAAAACTCTTGGTACATAATTTCGGTGCGCGAAAGGAACTGGCCCACTAACTGGCTCTGGGGCAGAGTAGTCTGCCAAAACCAAGGAGGGGACCTAGTTTCCATTGAAACCGAAGACGAATGGAATTTCATCAATGACCAGATTCAAAGGCGAGATATTACGCGCTATGAAAATAAATGGAGTATTGGTTTAACGAAAAAGGCCGGGAATTGGACTTGGGTGAATGGAAGACCGCTGACTATTTGCAAATGGGAACAAGGGGAGCCAAGAGGTGAACACGACGCGGCTTTCATGTACAAGCGGTCCAGTAATGGGGAGCAGGGCGTGTTTGGTGGTGGTAATGTCATGAGAACAGGAGATAACCACTCTTATATTTGTGAGATTTCCGAGGGTAAGTTGTTATTTTTGTTGTTGCTTTGTTTTGTTTTTTTCTGTTTGTTTGCTTTCTTTAATATTATTTTGAGGAAACTAACGGCAACAGAAGCGCTTAGGCATCATAAAAACATTATTTGATATCGTTTGTGGAACTTATGAAAGGATTTACATAAACCCTCCGACGGTCAGAATCAAGTTTACACTAACATTTGAATAAATGAAAATATGTTTGAAACGATATCAATTCACGTTTTCACGATACATATGTCTAACTTTTAGCTTTGTGAGGAGAGGAAAATTACAGATGGTTCTGTTACCAGTAATAACAGTATACTTTCAATTATGAGTTATTTTCATGTAGTTAATTTACTCTTTCGATTGAACAAAATGATAGTGAATACCAATTGCGAAGAAATATCAGTCCAATTGCTTTTTTAGATAACAACGTGTGATGACGTGAAGTGCGTTATCTTTTGCAAAGAGCCATGCCAGGGACTCATGTCTGTTGAGATACATGCCAATTATCGTTTTATAAAACGAATACAAAAGACTTGCAAATTTATTTGTTCTTCGCATAGCGGAATCAGTTCTGTGTTTATTCTATTTTATTTTAATATCCGCTTGTTTGAACTATAAAGTTGTAGGTTCTAATTTCGATGCAATGAAAAATGTGCATTGAACATAATAAACTAATTAGAATATGGCGGACATTTCGGTCGACCTAGCAACCATTACTCTATAGCGAGGTTAGTACGGGTTACCTTAGCTCTCGTATGTCACCAGAGTGTGTATATACATTTTCTTGTTTAAAAAATGGTCAAGACCGAATTCGCATTTTATTGATGTCCCGCTTACCAAAAAGATAAACATAGGAATGCTTAGCATGCAAGACTTATTATTTTGGCTGGGAGGGTTGTGATGGGACACTGCGTTCTTAACGGTTTCAGTTTTGTAACAGAAAAAGAGCATAACTTTTAAAATAACGAAAATATCGCATTACTTCTCTTTAACAGAAAGAAAAAAAAAACCTAATTTATCTGACCTCACACAGTTTTTTTGTGGTCTGTTGTCTCTACTGTATAAAAAAAAAAAACTTTTGAGCGAAAATAAAATGCATCGGTACCACGCTTACCTTTGGGTGCTTCGGAGCTGTTGTTTGGTCTCGCTCTATTCCCAGTTCGAGAGCGAGCGCGTTGCGGAACGTGATCAAATAACTGTTGTAAAACAGACTACCCTTACAGGCGTTCCATCTAGCTATTACGTAAGTAAAAGACAAATGGAGGAGGTTATGCACATGTGCGGTTGCGTGCCTAACTTGGAGACCCCAATCGGGCGCACCAAGAAGCTTAGATACAGAGTGATAAAGTACGCATTTACCAGAGTTCGTGCAGCGTACCGCGGGCACCTGGTTACTGATTACAGAGGGCTTCACGTGGGCTAGCAGAGTTTAAGCAGCGCAAACAAAGGAATTTGGCGTTTTGAGCGGAAAGTCATATTGATCAGTTCGTAGTTGAAAGCTTCATTGATTCTCGGTAATTACACTGCAAGAGAAACGCTAAATACGACATGAAAAGACTGATTTGAAAATACGAATATCTATCGAAGAGCGACGTGAGAAGGAAAGACAAAGAGCTCCGAAAAAAAAAAAAGACTCAAAAGAGGGCAACAACAAAGAAAAAGCAAACTACAGAGGAGCCGAGAAAGGAGAGACAGGAGGTAAGTTGATGCTTATCTAGTTTTCCCCTAGGCTAAGTCTCAAAACAATTTTAACAATCGTTAAACAATTCATTACGGTTTTACTACAGTGACGTATTCAAACAATACTCTACATATTCAAAACGGTTTACATAATGTCTTTCATAATTGTACACATTCTATTTGCCCCTTACACTTCTTGGCATCGGTATTTTAGAGCGATTTTTTTTTTTTAAGGCCGCGTGAAGGGTAGCACATCGACCGAAAAATGACTAACCTCAAAGTTAAGTAAGAGATTCTGTATAGTGAACTTAGAAACGTGGTAAAGTTTCTCGCCCAGATTTGCTTCTTTATTCTGGGAAATTTGCGAAAACTGAAACGAGCGTCGATAGCCGTAACTTGGCGGAAAGTAATGCCCCGAGTTGAGACAAATAAACTTTGCTCGTGAAAAGTGCAAAAGAAAGCAAGCTCTTCTCAATATGACAGATTTTTATTTATAGGATTGACGAATGTTTTAAGTTTAAAACGGGACCATTTCATTAAATTTGAAGCTCGCGGAACGCTATTGGAAATCACCAATATTTCAAAATACAAATATCGCATTTCCTAGGAATTTTTTAAATTAATACTTTCCCTGTGTGGTATACCTCAGTATCGGCTCAGATTAAGCTCGTAATAAGTGGAATAAGTATTGTTTTCGAGGATATAAAAATTAGTTTAGGGCTTTGCATTTCCACACGGAAAGACCAGGCTAAACTTTTTAAAAATCGCAACATCGTCTTTACGTCACGACGGATATTCTCTAACTAAGCACGCCATTGTTAAATCCAAAACTCTTAGCAAATTTTAGCAGTAAGCAACAAGCTCGATCAGTGAAGTCAATACAATAAGCTACCCTAACGACGACAGACTGGTTTTTTATAACTTCTTTCGTTTCAAATTGTCATTTATTTCCCATGGCGAAATTGTCTGCAATAACACATTTTGTAAAGTAGCAGCAGGCGTCTGTTTTTCTTTCCATGTTCGAACACATTTAAGTTGTAAGAAAGTTTTGAGATAAAATTGAGCTTCCTAGTGGACTTGAAAAAGAACGATTCAATCATTTACCGAAGTAAGTCAACAGTTCTTTTCCAAACTTTGAAGAAGGACAGCAATCTGAAATAAGTGTAGATGTAACACACTCAAACACTCAAGGATTCTTCACGCAAGGCTGAACGTATTGCAATCTTGCTCACATCTTGCAATCTTGCTCACATCTTGCAATCTTACGGCCATAAATAATCGTCAATAACTCAAAGTTTTTTCAAAATTTTGACAGTAAAATTAAGGAAATTCTAAAGTTAAACTTTATCATCCGAAAGAAAAAAAAAATCACAGAATACAGAAGGGAAACTTCAATTGTGCTAGCTAATTTCCTCCATTGCCTTTCATATTTTTGATCAAATAAACTTCAATCAGTTGTAAAGGGTTTCCTTGAATTGTATTGTAAATTGCATTGTAAATTACCCAGGTAGACTTCTTCTCAAATGGTCAGCTTGTAAAATATTGCTTCTCAAATTTTACTCACTTATATAAAAATATATGGTTGCAAGAAAAAGCACACAGCACCAAATCAAAGGGCTCTTGGAGCCAGCTCATTCATTTGCATTGATTTCTTGGACTTGCTGAATATAGGTACAGTTAAATTCGTTTTATATGAACTTTCAAGACTTTTGGATTAAATTTTATTTTATTTTTGCGCAGTTGTGTGTGAAGAAAACTTGTGCATTCGTCGTGATGGGAATTGGAAAAAAGGTTATGTGGGCTGGAGGTGGGATGGGCAGAGGTAATTAGGCAGGCAGTGTCCTTTTTGTTGGTGTGTGTGTGTTTGTGGGGCGGTGTCATGTAAGCCAATAACAATATAAGGCACATATGCGCAAATCAGTGTGTGTATACCCCTGAACAACAGCTTTTTGAGTGCTCTCCAAACTTTCTGCGTTCTTCATCGATGAACGCACAACTGACGTATGAACCAATTGTTTTAACATTTTCAACCAGATGGAAAAATTTTTTCTCGAGGGATTTGTTTGCTGAGGTCATGAGCGTGCACAATAGGAATATGAAGCACGCTCGCCCAATTGAATTTGATTAGACAAATATACTAGCTATGTTATAAACTTGGTTAGGTTTATTCATTGATACTGTTTCATCATGGCTTGCTTGCACGAAATGGTAACTGTAATTTAGATTAAGAGATGTTTTTGAGGCAACATCAAGGATGAATTATCTTTTAAAATGGAATACTTCAGTAACTCTCTTCATTTCTCTTCGATGCAACATCATCTAGTATTTCTGGAGGACAATTAAAGGAAGCGGGTTGTAAAAAAGTAATAATTTTTTATTCAGCTCAGTATTCAAACATGAGAGTAACATTTTATGTTTTCACATGTAACAGGATGGTCCAGCTGAAGATGGCCCGAAAAAGTAGTGAAATCTACTCTTCGTAACAAGGGTGACTTTTGGGGAAACTTGAGCGCTTAATTGGTGAATACGTCTTGGCTTGTACTTCTGATGATAACAGTTTGCTGACAGAGGAAATTGAAATGTCAGTCCCTATACAGGAATGTACTTTTCATCTGACCTGTACAATGAGAACTGAAATGATGTATTTGTGATTGGCACAACTACTTTATTTATAGTGGAACCCCCCTCACCCCCTGAGAAAAAAAGTTAATGATTTTTTGTAAACACGAATGTATGAGAGAAGCTCTGGAGCTATTGACCCTATTTTTGTTAGAATGCATAAGGTTTGATGATTGTAATGATTATTTGTCAGCTATCAAACTTTTCACTTTATATTTATCATAGTTGTAACTGCATGATCGCCGTACGTACTTCTTCAAAAGTTGTTGGAGCTGAGTCTGTAGCCTGTCATCCTTTGTTAAGAATTGTGCAATTATTTAATTTTGCAGTATTTACCACGTTGTAACATGTAAATTGGATGGCAATAAATATTCAGGCTCAAGATTTCAAAAGTGGTGTTCTTACAAATGATGTCACCTATTCTTTAAAGGAAACTTTGATTTAGTCAATTGGTCACAAGATATTTGAGTTTAAAAAGAAAAAAAATCTGGAAAACCAATAATCCTCTTCTAATTAGGACTGAAATTTATGGGCAATCTCCTCTTTGACGTCATGGTTTTATTTTGACCTGCCTCCTTCCCTTTAATGTTTAGGGGTACATAAATTATCCCTCTCACTCCCTGTGGGTGACTAGCATTCTATTTCTCCTTACAATATCACCCCTGAATCAAACATTAAGGTCGATAGATGAAACTCTTGATTGCTTAACAAATTCTCTTATTCAGAAAATTAGGAATGCACAGAAAACAGTGTTGAGAATATACACAATGATCTTGGGGTGTAAAAATGATGAGTACGTTATTTATATTTTGACACATGGAGATTGAATCAATTCACATCCACATAGTGCAGAAGGCAAGAATATGAGAGCTATAACTTGATAGGTTTTAAAAATAATAATTTGGAGAGTTTTGCAAACCATATCCTACTTCTACCTTTCTCTGGATAACAAGTAACAGTCATTAACATTGTCTTATTCACGGTGAATGAGACAGTGATGAGATGATAACCTCCTTATTTGTTTGACAGCTTGCCCTCGTATCGCTGACTTTATCCTCCCCCTCCCCCCTCAAAAATAATTGATGACTGGTCTGAGGGGAAGGTAGTTCTCATAAATTCTCTTAAATGAAATTGGAACAATGTTCTCACAACTTGAAAAGCATCCGGCTGAAAAATTGTCAGCAGATACAATGTAAACCCTTTGCACCTTAACATCTGTATGCATATTCTCCAGACTGTTCTCTACACGTTTCCCAAGTTGCTGAATCAAGGAGAACAATCAAAAGCTTCTTAGGGTTGGTGATCATCTCTTTTATTCTCATGGGCTTAATGTGTGACTTAGGGGTGGTACTGTGAGTCATTGTTAGAAGGGTTTTAAGGATTAATGCGTAAACTGTATTTGAAGGTTATCGTTCCAGGTAGGCTAACACTCATAAATTTCCGGTAGTTGTACATAAGTCTTGATCGTGTTGTCGCAAGAACGTTTGACTCAATTTGATTTAAATAACCTAAACTGAATAAGTAGAAACATGGAATTTATTATTTTCATTCTCCTTTAAGTGAGCATCAAAGTTTTGAAGTCATCACATGAGGCTTATACCACAGGTTTATAGGAAATCTGCCTAAGTACGAGTTTTGTCAACATTAAAGCTGTTAATGCATGTGTGCGAGCACATGTAGATGTTGAAAACACTGTTAACCCTTTAACTTCCAAGGTCTAATTGTTAATTCTCCCCTCTAGCTGCCACACATGTCTCGGTTAGTTGGATGTCACAGGGATATGTTACATGTTAATCACTTCTGGGAGTTAAAGGGTTAAATGCGGCGAATATTTTGCTTAGATTTCTCATTAAAGTAACCTGTATGAGTATACTCCTTTTTTTTATAATCTTGCTTTTCCAGCTCACGCTGCATTCTAATTTTTCGACTTAATTCTATTTTCTTTCAAAATATCTGGAACTCCTGATGTTAGATATCACAGGTCTATTTAGAACTTTTCTGTACTGGTAATTGAAAGAAATTTTGCAGCTGTTGGCGCATGAATTTTTCCCCTGACTCTGTTAATGGTCTATTAGGTGTAAGGATTGGGACTGATAGTAATACTTACGATTTTTCTACATCAATAACCCCTACAGCAATACCCCCTAGAGGGGGGGACTGCTCCATCACTCCGCCAAGCGGCATCTCACTGGAGACTAATTTCAGTCTGAGCTGTAGCAACTGGGAAAATGACAACACCCCTCTGTCCTACCAGTTTCAATACAGGCTAGAGAATGGCTTGTACAATGTGTTATATCGTGGCGTTAACAACAACATAACTACCTCTTGGATACCGCCTGGGATCAGTACAGATAATTTTACTGTCAAAGTTATCGCTACAGTGACCTACAATTGTGGAATTTCTGCCTCCCCAGTCTCTTTGAAAGTTCAGGTAGGTCGCTGACCATTAGTTTAATGTTTAGCGTGAAAGGATGTGAGAATATTTGAATTCTTTTAGTCCCTATTAGTAATAGATTAATTATAGTTATAGATAACTACTTTTGACTTTTGCAGATCAAGCCATCTCCGAGTGTAACACCCGAATTTATCGCAAACCTTCGTGAGAAATTCATTAAGATCAAAAACCTGACAGAAGCGGCGCTAATAGCAAACGCTTTACTTCGATCAGTTTCACATGAAACCTCAATGGATTTTCAGGAGAAATACAAGGTACTTTTCAAACCCAATTCGTTACTTAAAAAGTGAAACAAAACTAGTTCATTCTGATAGTATCCGAAAAGCAAAGAGTTTGCCAAGGGCCAAACGTGCAAAAAAATGAGAAGAAATTTACATGAAGAAAATAATAACAATACAAAAAAATCAACTTTCGAAGAACAGACAAGTATAATACATTAAATATATCAACGTACTTTTGAGAAAAATGGAGGCTTATGCGTTAAATATCTGATGTTTTTGCAGCACGAGAATTGTTTCGTGCGTTTTAAGCGTTGACTTTCCATTATTATCACGATTCACCTTCCGTTCTGACGAATGAAGAATGCTGAGGAGAATGCTTTGAATAAATTTCAAAGGAATACTTACAACGTCTTGAAATTGAGGTTTAAAAATACATTTCATGGGCAGAAATCACCAAATATTCCTTTTTTTTTTCTGCTTGGACATTTTCGGTGATTTGATGCATTTAGATCAATCATGCCCTTGCAAATCATTTGATGGGTTTTAACTGGCAATGTCATAGGGAAATCTGATACGTTAAGTCTAAATATGTCTTTAGATCAATATCTTTGGAACGAGCCTCACATGGGGGATACAGTCTGGTTGCCTATTTCTTTATTGGTTTCAATAACTTTAAGCTAAAATCTTTATGGTTGTTTAAGGTGATGAACGACATCCTTAATAAAATTTCGCCCTTGGAAACGAAAACTGTCTTCGACCTGCTTCAAAAATCATCAGTTGTCGGCTCTGCTCTTCAGGTTGTGGAGAAAGTGCCCCATCAGTTTTTGGTAAGTTAATTACGTAATATTGTTTGGGGCTGGAATAGCGTTGGTGGTTACGTCAAGTTTTCATACCGTGAAACTATTTGACCAGAAAAGCTCAAGAAAAACAGCAATAACAACAACAGCAAAGACGAAGAAAACGGAAATGAACAAGCATAAAAACAAGCAACTATTGCATTATCAAATGAACCAACCTATAGTTTTGTACATACTTTAACTAATTAGCCACAAATTATCTCTAGGACGGTCATAGGACAGAAATCTGAAAGCAGGCAATTTTAGCTTCATTTAAATTCATTTGCACTCCACAGAATTTCTCCTTATCTGCTATCAGTTCAATGACGTCACGACTATGGTCTCTTGCCCAGAAACAAGACGTAGCAGACATACCACTGACAAAGCAATCAGCTGAAAACTTGGCTTCATGTCTTAATAGCGTGTTGAAGGCAGCAGCAGTGATTGCATCAGAAAACTTCAAATCAAGTTTTCAACAACTGGTACTGTAATGTGCATTAGTCTATATTCATTGGCGAATGGTCCATTGACGATTGTTGTAAACTTAACCGTTACTCCCTTCTTCATTCATATTTGGGACCTTTTAAGGTTTGTTTGTATGTATGTTTGTTTTAAGCTTGCGAAAATCCATAGTTTGCTTACATTATATGGTTATTTATGGAATTTCTACAGGGTAAACTATTGGTGAAGATTTCAATGAAGACCCTCGAGAAAGTTGCAGACTCAGTGTTGGCCTTGACAGTACCTGATAAAAGAACGATATCATTCACAGCGGGAGAACTATCCATGACAGTCGGAAGATATAGCCTCCAAAGACTTTCAGGACTGGAAATAAAAGCAGGAAAAGGCCGGTTTATCTTACCTTCTAAGAGCCAATTATTACTCGCTGGAGTAAACAAAACAAGTTTTGTAGATGTTCAGGTAGGTTTTCCTGCCCTTCGGGCAAATTTCAATCTAAGTTTTTTTTTCTTTTTGGCAGATACCGACACCAGTAACATTAAAGTAGCACATTAGGTACCTTAAAGGTTCCTTATTACCTCCAGCAATCATATTTCTTGTTTTGGTTTTGACATGTTCAACTCTGTCACTTGGGACAACAAAAAAGAATCAGTCAAGCTTGATTTTCTTCACATCGCCTTAAGCAAACCTTACAACTGAGTTGATAACAGGATCAGGTCTTCCACCCGCCATTTCTCCTGCATTTTCATTCTGGTTTCAAAATACTGACTCTGAAAATATTTCATAATAAGTGACCACATGAATGTTATTTATTTTTCGTTGTTTTTCCAAATATATTTTCAGTTTTACTTTGCGCTCAACTTATGATAACTTATGATTAGTACTAAGAATGAGTACCTTGTTTACCTGTTCAATTACAGCAGTCTACAAAAACAAACAAATTTTTAATCATTCTTCTTTCAGATGTTCTCGTTTTCTTTCAACCCTTACACTTGGGACAGCACAAAGGAGCGAGTTGGCTCTGATGTTGTAACCCTGCACTTGAAAAACAACGACAGCAAGCTTATTAAAGTATCAAATCTCACGGAAGACATTGTTATCGTTATGCCTTTAAAACTTCAGAAAATCTCTGCTTCAGAAAAGTCATGGTATTTCACAAAGAACGATGATCTACGTTTCCACGAGATAAAAGTCAGGTATGAAAACACCTTGCTGATAATGGAAATCAAACCTCAAGATCCAACCGTACATCTTTTTGTCTATATGCGTTTTAATCAGCGACCGACAACTCAAGACTACGACCTCAATGCCACTATCTCTCATGACGAAAAGTGTGTTTGGATGCTAAGTGCACATGAAAAAAGTGAAGGGCAAACAGTCTGCTCCTTGAATCCAAATGCGACGATACAGGTTCTGGCTGAGCGTCCTGGGAAATACTTTCTCGGCTTAAAAAATTACAATGCCACAATTAACTTATCCCACACAAGGGAGAAAAGATCTTGTCTTGGTGGAAGGCGAAGGAAGCGCTCCTGCGTCGAAGTCAAAGATCCACCACCCACCCCACCCCAGAGTCAAAATGTCCCTGTGATACCAGTTTATGATTCCACAACAGACCACAACTACACTCTGAAGGTGACCTTGGGTAGTTGTGTTTACTGGTCAGAAAAAATTGAAAAGTGGATATCATCTGGTTGTCGAGTAAGTGAAAAATTAAATAACGATTTTTCAGCGCAATCTTTTTATCTAATTTGGCATTGTAATCAACACAGTTTAGATCATTTGAGCTTTCCTGATTAATGTTTGCAAAAGTGCTGTGGTATTGTAATAATCTTCACTCATTAAGCTTATAATTGAATTCAGTCTAATCTTTGATGAGAGAACATTTTCAGACAAAAGTCGAATCGATTTGATAGCCAGCCGGGGTATAAAGGCGCCTTAAAAAACAGGGTGATTAATGGTGACAGCCAACATGATAATTTTTATCATTAACATCTTCCTTGCATTTTATAATTTCAGGTTTTAGCAAAAATAGATGGATTTTTAAACTGTCGCTGTAGCCACTTGACATCATTTGGGGGAAGTCTTTTAGTTGAACCGAATCCCATTGACTTCGACAAGGTTTTAGTCGAGTTCCAGCAGTTATCAGAAACTGGAAATATCGCAGTAATTGTGGTTATTGCGGTGATTTTATTATGTTATGTGACTGTGCTTGTTATCGTAAGGAAATTCGACGAGGAAGACGCGAAAAATGTAAGTGTAAAACCAGATATTGCTAAGGACCGTTGTTTTAACGGAGCATGCTCTCCAGTATAACCCTTTCCTCCTATGATCTAGTTGTTAATTCTCCCTCAGGTTGCTATACACTTTTTTTGTAAATAAGTCATGACAATTTGCTAATAGATCAAGATACCAAATTCTACCTGATAATTTTGAGTATTCTCATGACCTGTTGCCTAGATAATGTACCGATATTTTTGGGAGAAGTTGCATGTTGATCACCTCTGGCAGTTAAAGGGTTAAGCAAAAAAAAAGGCTTTAATGTTGACAGCATTATTCGCTTTAAAGGTTTGTTGATATTGTGAGTTTAAAAATGAAGTGACCATGGATTATTTCCCTTTTTTGGGACTGGGATAAAAAGAGCGAATTAAAAATAGAAATCAGCTAGCAATGTAATTCATGCTTTATCATGTTTTTTTTAGAGGATATTACCGATCCGACTTCCATCATCTTCAAGCAGCACCTATGAATATGTTATAGTGATTACTACAGGGGCTTGGAAAAGCTCAGGCACAACTGCTCATGTTGCTTTGGAGATTTACGGTTGCGATGGAAAGAGTGGCATCCTTCAACTTAGCCAAGAAGAGCCTGGTGCAGATAATACGTTATTCTCTCGAGGTAATTCAGATGTTTTTGTACTTTATGTTGACAAATCACTTGGTGCGATTCAAGGAGTGCAGATTGGACATGATAATTTTGGAGATAATCCCTCGTGGTACCTAGAAGAAATTCTGATTCGGGACGTACAATCCAAGCAGTCGTGGAAATTCATGGCCAATCAGTGGTTTGCTCTTGAGCGTGGAGATGGGCGCATCGAGCGAGTAATCGACCAGACCTCAAGTCATCTGGATTTTGGCAATGAAGTTGCAAGACGTTGGCGAATAGGCCTCGCGGAGTGGCATATTTGGGTTTCAGTAGTAACCAAGCTAAGAAAAAGTCGCTTTACAAGAGTACAGCGACTGTCTTGCTGCCTCTCAGTGCTTTTGACATCCATGTTTGCTAACGCGATGTTCTATAAGTTAGAACGCAAATATGAACAGCCTATCCAAGTCGGACCGCTGAAAATGTCGTGGAGACAAGTGGTGACTGGAATTGAAAGCGCGTTTGTTGTGACACCCATAAACATTGTCATAGTTTTTCTCTTTCAGAAAGGAGCTGAAAAGTCTGCCACGAACAATGACTATTGTCTTAAAGGTACCCTGATCTCTGGTGTCGCTTGGTGTTTCTTATTTTTCTCTTGTACTGTTTCGGCTGCGTTTTCAATTTTCTATAGTCTAGTTTGGGAAAAGAGTGTCAGTGAGCAGTGGCTGTCTTCGATGCTTATCTCATTCGCGCAGGATGTAACGATCAAGGAACCAGTAAAGGTGTTCTTCACAGCTTTAACATTCGCGGCCATTTTAAAGATAAAGGCGAAGAGATCAAAAGTACACGCCTGCGAAAGCCCTCCGCAGGAAGTTAAAACTGGGTACTATAAGAAACACTTTTGGGCTCTGCAATTATCAGAGGTGGAAGAGATGAGAAGACGACAAGCTAAGAAACAGAACCTGACACGTTATTTCACAGAGTTGGGTTTATACTTGGTCTTCGTTTTCTTGCTTATGGCAGTGTGCTATGGAAACAGAAATGACCATCGGTACTTGATGACTAAATCAATCCAGGATGGACTACCAAACTTTGGCAAGGTGAGTAGACATTATTTGATTATGATAAATCCATTGCTGAAATTCGCGTGTTTAATTTATCTTATGACTTTTCGTTCCCATGGAGATCCAAAATCAAATATATGAAGAAAAATTTTACTTTGCCGGTCTCTTCAAGAAATGACTAAGGTATTTTCTGCTCTTGTGATGGATATTTTGAGGAGGAATATCCCTTTAGAAACAGCGTACAAGAGATACGTTAGTGCGCGTGTTACACCCAAATTTAAGACTGGAAAGAAATTCCAAGCAATAGATGTATAATCCCATGAAGACATTGGCATTCAATTCTGCTATAGGAGAAGAGCCAGAAAGCGGCAAACATAATATTTGAGGGGATGGGTGCAACGAAAATAAGTAAGCGAGAATAATAGTCTAAGAAACGCCCATAAATAGTAACTCGCTTCTGTGACACAAACTTCTGCTAGTCTATCCATACTGCTATACTTAAAAAAAAAAAAAAACTATATATATATATATATGTGAAGTCTATGTTTCGGTTTTTCCGTATTACATTGCTTAATACATGGAAGTACAGCGTGATATGAATTGAGCTAGGGAAAAAAAACAGAGACCAAGGTTTTTCTCGACAAGCCTGTTTCGTGATTAGATCATTCTTCTGGGGATTTTTATGGAAAGAATATTTGTAACCATCGAAGATATACTATAAAATTTGCATGATAAATGTGGCAGTAAATTTAGGTGCTTTGTTCAGCTGTTGCGCAGTAACGCTTTGTTTCTGTGAAGGTATGAAGACACGAGTTCATTACCCTTGTTAACTGATGACAATTCAATTAACAATTCATTTATATATATATATATATATATATTTATTTATTTATTTATTTATTTAGTTTAACCCAATGATCTTGTACTAATTCAGGTGACAAAAAATACAATGTACTGGAGCTGGTTACAGCGTGTTTTCATACCAGGTGTGTTTTCTGGCAGATGGTACAACGGTCAAAGGGATGAGCAAACAATTTATATTGGTAATAAACACTCTCTTCTCGTCGGAATGGCTCGAGTAAGGCAACTCAGAGTGAAAGCGAGTAAGTTTTTTTTCCATTTTTATTCCTCTTTGCATTTCATTGAAAGGCTATTTACCCACACACGTCATTTCACATATTATAGTTATACATATATAATTTTGCCTGATAAAGAAGCAATCGGTGCACAAACTTAATTATAGAGTTAAACAATAGCTTATTGAAATTCTTAAAGAAAAAATATTGAACATGCACTGGTTACAATTTTCTCGACTCCTGACCATTCTGACAATTATCTAGACGAGTGTTTAGGTAGCTGCGTTTTATTATGAACGTTGATTAAATTTAGGTTTTGATGACGGCGCTCCTTTCCTCCGAAAGCAAATGCTACTTTGAAGGCTTCTAATAATTCTCCATAACAAGATGTCCATATTTGATAAAAGTACGAAATGTGTCATCCCTGAGTGAAATGAATACCAAAAGAAACTTCCTAATCATGATCTTTTGTTCCAACTTTCAGCGCAATGTAAAGTCCTAAACTATATGGAAACATCGTTCCAAGAATGTTTCAAAGGATACTCGACAAAGAACGAAGACAAGACCGCCTACAACAAACCAGGCTGGAGGCCTGTCGACAATGCTGCGAGGAATGACGAGTTATTACAACTTTGCCCAAAGCCATGGCGATATCAACATGCCGAGGAAACCGACACTACACCCAGGTGGGGACATTTCTCCTTTTATGATGGAGGAGGATTTGTAGCAGACCTCGGTTATGATAACCATACGGGGTTCAGCATAGTAACAAATTTACAAAACAACGGTTGGCTTGACAGGCAAACCAGAGTTGTCCTGGCAGAGTTTTCCACATTCAATCCGTCGGTGAATATTTTAAGTGTTGCCACATACTTCTATGAAGTTCATGCATCTGGACTGAGAGCAGCCTCCGTGCAAATTCGTGTTCTTTCACTTGATTCTACGGGCACACCCTCGCATCAGTTTTATTTGATTTGCTTGTTCCTGTACTTTGTATTCGTTTTTCTGTATTTCGAAGGAAATTTTCAGACTTTACAGTCATCGTTCTCGATATTTCAAGTCTATCTGGAATTGGGTCGAGATATTTCAAATTGTTTTTTCTCTGATTTCCGTGGTGATGTACATAATACGACAAAGTAAAACCATTTCAACCATGGGCAAACTGCATAAAAACATTTACGGAAATCTAAGTTTCCAAGAAGCTATCACTTGCCAAGAAGTGGAAAATGTGGTACTTGGAATTCTTACTTTCATCGTTACCACCAAGCTATTGCGAATCATTCGCTTCAACGACTATGTTGCTCTATTCTCCGCAACATTGAAGATATCTGCACGATCTTTGATATCCTTTAGCATCGTTTTATCCATTTTCTTTGTGGCATTTTTGCACTTTGGTGTCTTAGTATTTGGCTGTGTATCTGAGCGCTACTCTTCGGTGCTAAAAGGAGCCTATTTCCAACTCGAGCTAACTCTTGGTCGAGTGAAAGCTAGACCAATCAATGAATTAGCACAGGCCGACACCATATACGCCAAAATATTCGCCTTCTTAATTCTCTTCACTCTCACTATTCTCTGTATGAACTTTTTTATTGGCATAATCAACGATGCTCTTTTGGATGCTAAGAACTTTGTGAGCGAAAGTGAGCTGTATGATCTTATCGATGAGAACCGTTGCTCGAGCTCAAAAGAAAGAAAAGAGTTTTTTGATGCAATCAGTAACAAGTTGAAACAGTCGAGAACCTCTAAAACGTCAGCAGAAGTGAAGGACAAAGAATCTGGAAACATTGGCCTTGACCCCACGAACAATTCTAATCTGAAGTTTGATTTAATAAGTCAAGCTATCAAAGCTTGGAGGAAGAAAAGATCCAGAGAAACAATAGATAAACAGCAATGCAGTACAAGGAGACAAGCATTGTTCGACAGGATAAGCAACATGTTAAAATCTCTGAAAGGTGAAAGCAATGACGACTGCAGCAAACGTAGAGAAAAAAAGAAAGTAAGATTTCAAGAGGATGTCGTCGAGTCTTCCCTCCGTAAATTACGTAAGAGAGAACATGACCTGTTGCAGCGGCTGGAGAGTATTGTTTCAGGATTCACAACGGAAGACGAAGAATTCGATTATTTATTAATAACAGCAGAGGTCTATCTCTACTAAGTAGAGAGAGAGTAAAGGAAAAGGTGAAAGGAAGTAAAATACTTAATCGAAATCATTGTTGTAAAAAACATCGTTAAAAATAAATCACCTCACACACACAAAGAAATGGCAGGAATTCCCCAGTGTTTCGTAGGATTGTGGCAAATAACAAAAAGAGGATAAAAACTTAGAAAGTCATTTTTTTACATTTTCTATAGCTGATCTCAAAGGAAGAACCTGTATACAATTTTTCTTAGGATCCTATTAATTGTATATAAATATGGCTTGTATTCAACGGCAAAAAATATTAACTGCTTCATATCATTCAAAATAGAGTTACACGAAGGAAGTTAAGTATTGTTATGTCATATAATCCGTGTGTTTTATATATATTTTGCTGCAAAAAGATGGAACGATTTAGACGAATATGTTCGAGCCTCAATGACTTTAAAGATTTTAAAACAGATATTTGTATTTGAGACTATTGATCATTTTATTGTTTAGCAACAAGTAGCCCTTACTTATCTTATTTAATATATTTGATTGGTTTCATTTATTGAAATTGAATTATGAAATTGAATTAGTGTTTTCCATGAATAAGACTTACCCATTTACTCACTTAGACAGTTTCTTTGTTTGGAGAAATTAGCACCACTATGCTACTCTAAAAAATTTGGAACGGAAGTAAAGTTATTTATGTATGTATGTAGGATTAAAATTTTGCTGTTATCGAGCGTCTTGACTCACTCCATTGGTGACGACTGATCCCCCAACTTGTTTATTCGGGGGGTTTGCTGGTAAAACCGCGCAGTCGTGTCTAAAACTGCCCCTTATGACTGTTGCGTACAGGGAGGACGCTAAAAGCAATTTTTTGTTCGAGAGGCATCGGGGAAAGATGTATATAGCCATGCTCTGACATCAACAATCAAAGCGTGAGGATTATTTTCAAATATATTTATTAAATAACTATTCTACATTGTAATATCAGCGTAAAATAAGTTTGCAGTCAGTACATGTACAATGTTATTCCAGTTCTGAGCATTTTGGCTGCATGTTACTTTAGTGCACAGAGTTTAATAATTCCACTGGTTCAAAAACTTTCGCCAAAGAATAAGCCATGAAACTTAGAGGGTATTTCAACTTTCGGTGGCTTTAAAAAGCAAGCTGGATGCTGGTTGATTTCCTGCCATATGGAAATTAATTGAAAAGGTCTAGATTATTGGGGAAACATTCATCGATAGCCTCGCAGGTCCTTTCCATTGAACACGTAAGAGTGCTTTGTCGGTATAACATTTTTTGTCAGCAATACGAGCTTTTTCAACGTTGGAACAAAAAGCAATCTAGGAAAGAGAAGGTAATTTAACTGGAACTTCGTAGTCCTGATCGCAATGTTTGCTGTACAAACGAAATCGTGTAATGTTGCGCTATTTACCTAGAAAACAGCCCTTTATTATTTCTACTTACAGAGGTTTTGGCATGCAAAACGCGAAACAATAAAATTTACGAGGAAGCGATCGCCAAGTGTCATCAACGTTTTTTGTTCATAACTTCTTTTGTTGGTGACGTTATCACCGAGCCGGTATTTAAAGAGTGTAAGTTTAGTTTCCTCTACTTGCGATCCAAGTCGCTGCTCTTAATGACCAGCGGTTGCATGCATACCAAAGGGCATTTAAGTTAAAGGTTAGACCAATGCCATCATTATTTGAAGTGACCACCAGTCTTCTCGACGGTAGCTTCTTAATTCACCACCGATTCTAAAGCCTGCTAAACGCTTTGAAGTCTCTTCTGGGCCGTTAGTTGATGCAAAGTATAAAATATTCCTTTTTGAATGTTACCGACGGTTGGCGCGTAAATGGACATAAAGATCGGGTGACGGGTACAAGGTACGTTGTCATAGTTAGGAGCCTGCCTTGTTTAGTATCTTGGCATCGGGGTTCTGTATCGTGTCTGTGTGGCTAACAAAACAAAACAATTAGTAAGAAATAGCAAAAAGAATTTTGGTGAGCAAAATTGTTAAGATAAGATGGCATTGGGGAACGCTAATCATTTATCGCCTGGGGAGGTGAGGATTTTCGGGAGATCACATGATTTTCAAGGGGAACGAAAGGAGCTATAGAAGTTTGACTGCCAATTAACTGCCAATGAAGGGGGGGGGAGGGGGGGTAGGCATAAGAATATTACAGAGTCTGATGGGGAATCAGGTAAATTTTCTCATCACCCAACCATCCCCTCCGCCATTTTTTTTCTTAACGACAAAACTTACGTTTGGGAAGCATTTCATCATCTTCGTCATCGTCCAGCATTCTCCTTTGTTTACGAAGCTTTTGTCTGCAGAGTTAAGCATGATATAATCTTATCCTCTCAGCTACTAAATTGCAAGTAGGCACATAGCGAAAACTTAAAAAAACTTATTCGAGACCTTATTCTCTAAATATAGTATGAGTGCTTCACCACCAGGTGTAATATGTTTTTTTTTAGGAGAACTGAAAGTCTATTTCTTAATGTGAAGTTACTGCCAAGCTTTAAGATCTGAGAACTGACGTTTTTTCAGGCCTGAATAGCAAAGGAGCTATTCATTATCTCACCTTTTCATGCAAATGCACACAGCCCATATTACTCCGCCGATTCCGGCCACGAAAGCTAAGGAAGCAGCTATAATGTACACGATCATCCAGTCTGCAAGAGAATACTTTAAAATTATCGAAATATGCGATTTTTTTTCCTAAACTGAAGGTCTTGAATTTTTTTTCAGCAGTAAAGGAAAGCTAGTATAATTATTTTCGTATTCATTTCCTGTGAAATTGACTTGTAAGGTACAAATTCAATTACAATGCAAATTGAACTGGGAGCGGAATTTTTTGACAAATTGAAGATGGTGCGAAATTAAAGAAATCTTGATTATGGGTGAGGCAATTGTTATCGGGTATCAGGAATTTGTACATTCATTTAGGACTGACAACTTAGGGCTTACGAGAAAGCGCAAAACAGACGAGATGAACTAACCTTTTTCCTTTTGACCGGACGATCCTCTGTTCATATAAGCCAACTTGACGTTTGCCCTTCTGATACGGGCTCAGCACTTGTCTGGCATAAGACACCGTCAAGACATTGAACCGCGAAACACTTCCCATTTAATAAATAAGCGATATCACACGAGGGGCGAGCGCAGCATCGTCCGATGCACCGGTGGATATCATCTGCCCTACCTAGAGCTGTGAAGTTACTAGCCTTAGTTCCCGGCCGAAGTTTGATATCATTGGATATTCTGCTGTCCAACATGCACGTGGCAGAATTAGAGGCCAGCTCTGTAGTTGCAGAATCTTCTGGTGAAGAAGCAACCGCGGATAAATCTGAGGAAGTAGGTACATTAGTTGTTAATTGCCTTTCCTCGTTCCATGTAACAAAGTAAACAAAAGTGACAAGAACAACCTTTACGGTAACAAATCAAGCAATCCACTGTGGGCGAGATATGGGCATCTTACCCGCTCCGTTAACCAGCCAACTTTTTTCTGAAATATTGGATTTCGTTAAGCTATATAAAAAGGTTATTGAGTGGGTTTCATGGCACATTTGATAACCGTTTTATATTCTTTAGTTCTAGATAGAAATTAGTGTCTTATTAAATCATTCCCGAGGACAATCCCACTGACTCCCATTGGAAAAGTAAAATCCTCTTGGAGAGGAAAACCGGAGGATACCATTAATGAAACCATAGAAAATTTTTCTGGGTAATTAATCCATCTGTATTATATTTTCGCACTTTTTTTCGGCAGATAAATTTGAGTTTTATGTTTCTACTTTTTTACCTATTTCTTCTTTAGGCTCCGCTTTTATCAACATCGCAGAGATCAGAGGTGTCTTCTTAGAGGCCTTTACCGAGACTGGAATACAGAAATCCTTGCTGGAACATGACACAGAATAGCATTTGTTCTCCACCATATAAGCTATATCGCACTTCTTACTGTCGCAACATTTTTCCATACATTTGCCCATAGTGTCCACGTCTTTGACAATTGTGAAGTTGTTTTTGTGAATTCCACCTGGGAGATCTTTGTCATTTGTAATGTTGCTATGTTTGCATTTGAGGTCTTTGGGCTCTAGCAGGGATAGCGGGTGCTTTACTGGATTCTAGTAGAAGGAAATTCGAAATAATAGATTTAGTGAGTTAAGACAGATTTTTGCCAAATTGCTACGAAGGGAGATACTCTGACGGACTGATTAACATACCAGAAGTTGATCTAGCCCAACGACTCGTGAAGTCGAAAGCTGAGAAAATCAACCTACCTTTTTTATCCGAATTTTTCATTGGTCTCACATAAGAAAGCTGAGGATTGTAATCCGTTGGGGGAGCTTTTGAGTGTTCACATAGTTCTTTACTTTTACATGCTACGGAGTAACATGTCTTGCCGAGCATAAATGCAACGTTGCACTTTTCATCCCTGCAGCATATATCCTGGCATTCATCCATTCCTTGCACGTCACCATGATTGTTAAACTTTCCAGCTTTCTTTCCACCCTTCAAAGTTACATTTTTATGCACCTTCACCTTCTCACAGGCTTTTTTTTTTGAGTCGCTTTTTTTTCGTTGTCTTTCAACTCGGAAGAATGGGATGTATCCGAAGTTTTGCCAGAGGCGTCTTCAGATACATTCGATGCTCCAACGGGAGTCAATTCGATTTTTCCGTTTACGATGTTCATTTTCATAGCTTGGCCAGCTGCAGCTGACTTGATCTGACTCTTGAGGCTTTGATCTGTCTGCGCAGCCGCAATGTCGGTTTTCTTGGTCTCCTGCTGATTTGTGATTGGTTGAATTTCTGCGGGAGTTTGTGGTACCAATGGTGCTATCTTCTCTGCCGGTGTTGTGAGGGGGACTGGAAGCTGCATACCTGCTTAAGAAAGACGATAAATTCTCCTTAGAACATTTATAAGCTCCTCTTCAAGATCTTATCTGTTTTTAAATGAGATAACTTTGGCTTTAAACTCCTCAACACGCGCAATCCGATCGGTTCCCTCAAGGTTTTTTATGACACAAAAATGTGCCTTGTTTAATCCAGCCAATTTACACTGAATGACCGATTTGCCCCCCAAATTGATACATTTTATTTTTCACCTCAGAGAAGTTATAAGCTATTTTTTCCTATCTCTTTTACGCTCCGTCCTCATCACATGAATGTTAAAGAGTAACACGACTGATAATCATTCCTTTAGAAAAATGAAAGCATATCCTCCCCCAAAGTAATTTTTTGTGCAGGTCCATGAAGTCTTCAGAAGAAAAGTTGGCAAGGATTGCAAATTTCCTGCATACCTGCATTGTTGCCAGGTGAAATCCCTGGTTGTGGCATCATAGGATTCTGTTCGACGGGTGGGTTGGACCCAAATGGAGACGGAGGAAGTGGAGGTGGCGCCAATGGTGATGGCGGCTGCTGTAGGCTGATCAGAGGGTTCTGTCCTTGCATTTGTGTCTGCGAAAACTGAGCCATTTGTGTCGCGTCTGCTGCTGGACCTCTCAGTCCAGGGATCTGGGGTGGCTGTCCTGGCGTGGTAGGCTGTACCAACTGGGTTTGCGTCAAACTTGGGATGGTTTCTTTTGTTTCTGTTTGTGTTACTTTTGGGACTCCTGAAAATTTGTAGACGGCTGATATTAGTGCTTAATAAAATAAAATCAAGTAAACTATTGGTGTGACTAATATACTTTACATAAAAATGTGTTTGTGACTTTGCCAAGAAACTGGACAAAGAACAAGAATAATAAGTGTTTTGAAAGCATAATGAACAACTTCAGCCCAAACCCTGAATTACAAACCGTGTTTTTCAAATAACCGGCCAGATTGGATCTAGTTGAGCCTTTCGTCTTCCTGAAAATCTTATCTCAATTCTTTTGCCTGCCTCAGCCACTGCACAAATGGGTGAATGAAAATTGGAGAGCGGGTTTGTTTCAAAGCAGTTTTGAAAAGCAAATTAGGATTTTTTTCGAGTTTTAGGGTTGTTTGAAGTCATCCTCTTTCCCTTTTTTCATATGAGAATTTAAGTTTTATTTCATTCTGAAGCCCGTTTGCTTCAGCAACAAAAGCTCAGTTGCTTTAAACATTCCTCTTTTCAGGAAATAAAAAACAATGGGATCAGTTCCTAAGATGAAAAGAATCTTCAAGAAGTTTCCGAATAATGGTGCTCTTTAACAACAATTCTCCACACTGAGATTTTAGTTCTAGGCGAACTATCCACGACTTGTCAACGCTGAAGTCCCTTGCTCTTTGATGTGTTGGTGACTTAAAGCCTTGTTTTATACTTACAGACAAAAATCGTTTTCACCTGTTTACAAATGATAAGCATGTGAATAATCTTACCTAGCAGTGCATTTGTCTTAAAAATCCCTTTACATATGATATTTTAGGGTTGTATCTCGATGGATTAGCTCCTGAGTCTTACACGCATCAGCGCTTTTGCATGCTACCGAAAAGCAATTTGAAGACAGCATGAAGGCCAAATGACAGTGTGGCATCTCACAACAGATTCGTCGACATTTGTCCATATCTTTAACTTTTCCTTGATCGCGGAAGTACCCAGATTTTATTCCACCGACAAGAGTTACGCTGTCTAAAACTTTTCCAGCTGGGCAAACCAGCTGAGGTTTTAATATCTTGTTTTTAGGTGAGTCTGGAAATTAAATAGAGAAAAAAGCAAGCTCAGAATAAATGCAGTATTAGATGTTTTTCACCTGTTTTTAAGGTATATCATAATTTTATTTATATGCAAGTAAATGCAGTTTTATTGCTACGTAAAAAATAATATCTTCTCTATTGAAAACGCTATGGTTTTCTTTTCAAAATGGCGCTCTTGGTGTTGTTCCTCTATATGTATATATATTAGTCCTCACGCTCTTGTCAACAAGGGTAAACCGAATCTTTTGCGATCGCACTACCTCAATTCCACCGACAAGATTTGAAGGAATATTAAAGCGGTTACTCATAGGTAATCACTAAGAAGGTAAGTTTTTAAAGCTCTACTCTACGTAATTCTAACTATATTAACTTACCATTTTTCATCTCATTTCTGTTCCAAACATACGCAATTTGTGGATTGAAGATGGAAGGCTGCGCAGGAATTGTACTGCACAAGTCTTTGTTATAACATTTGACCGAGAAGCAATTTTGGCCCAACATAAAGGCCAGATTACACGTAGGATGTTGGCAGCAAGTCTCGTAACATTCCTTTATGCTTCCAACCTTGCCTGTGTCCGTGAAATCTCCAGCTTTGAGTCCTCCTTTTAATGTCACCTTTTGGTCAGCGGCTTCACCGCGGGACATGCGAATTTGGTTTCGGCTGAGTCGCCAAGAAAAACTATGCATAAGAAAAATATTCGATCAGTGCAGTTCAATATAACACGGGTATTTCAAAAAGCCGAAATGGCTATCTCTAGCAAAAAACAAAAAGGAAAAAAACAAAACGAACAAATTGAGTATAAAAGTGGCAAGTTGCCCTAATCGCCTAATTATATATATTACCAAAGCTAACGAGTCTACAAATTGAAAAGAATGATTGAGATCATTTTGTTATTCTCTTTTATATATGATGCACAACCTTAGAAGCTCTATCTACCCTCAATCCAGGTATCTGCGAAATGAATTGAGGAGTTAGTAGTGTCCCCTGAGAGAGGGGCTTGGTAACGTTGCCAGACTGAAGACGAGGGATTTCAGTGTAAAAGTGCATGTTGCGGGACCAAACAAGCAAAACGAAAGACACTCTTCGTCTTATCACGAACGTAGGACTAAGGAAAATCAGAGTCACCATAACAAATCGGGTCCCAAACTTTTAAAGTCCTCGTTCTGATGCTTTTCCACTGAGCTATAGGGAATTCAATAGCTACTAAGTACCAACAACCCAATAACTCACCATACAGAAACAAGTTCGAATCCTGTCGAGTTTTATAAAGCATTAATTATGTTTTTTGCGCTTTTTTGTGAATTTCTCCGCCTGCAGCTCTCCAAGGATTATTTTCTCAACTCTGTGTCGTTCGCAGATCAAAATGCTATTCATTTCATTTAACTTTGACAAAGCTCTTTATCGCTCTGAGTTTTGATTCCTCATTGAGACACTTTTTTTGGTTCTATACTGGTGTTGAGGCGAAAAAAAATCTTTCTTTAATTCAGCTTCGAGCCACAAAAAATAACCATCCATCTTGTTCTATTTGCACTCAAATAGCGTTCAATTTGCAGTGTTGTCGAAGATTTAACATACCTGAATGCTTCACGCCCTCCTTGTTCCATCTTTCAATGTAAGTCACAGATGGATGATACGGAGAAGGCTTTGCTTTTTGTATCTGACAGTTTTTGCCTTCTGAACATCCAACAAGATAACATCTACTTGAAAGCATAAACGCTAAATCACAAGCCGCGAACTCGCAGCATTTACCAGAACATTCCTCCATGCTTTTCACAGAGCCAACATCTTTATATGTACCGGCATTAATGCCTCCTTTTAAAGTCACTTCTTTGAAAATTTTTTTCCTGGCTGGCATTGCCCAGCCATAGATGGGTTAACAATGCTCGATGATGTTTGTCCCTGTGCGATGAGACCTTTTGGCGTGTTAGCAGATAGGCCTCCCTGATTTGAGCCCAAGAAACCATTTGGATGTGGTTTAACATTCGATGTGAAGTTAGGAGTAATAAAAGCTAATGATGTGTTATCTGAAACGAATAAAAGAGAAATTCTGTCTGGATATTATTCATGAAATTATCATAATTTTTTTTTTCGAAAATTTATGAATAGAGCCAATGAGTTTTTAAAAAGTTAGCGTAAATGTAATTGGTATTTGTTCATCATAATGATCAATGCTTAAAGTTGCAATAAAATAGCATCGTAAAAATGCTCTCAATGGGATTAACTCGGTCAGCTGTAATACAGCCTCAAAAAAATGAAAGATTGTCAAAATTACAACAGTGAGTAATAAAAAAAGTTAACGGTAATTTTTTTTCTTTTATCTGCAAAGGAAAAATTAACCGTTAGGCGTAAATTGGCCAAAATTTTAAACGTTAGCCGTCAAAGCCATCACCCCATTGAGACCCCCAGAAAAAAAATCGACTGAATATAGAGGAATATTGCATAAACATCGAATAAGCGGAAAATTTTGAGGACAAGAACTGAATTGAGAAGTTCAAATTATTTTGAAAACGAATGAAACCACAATATTCAAGTTATAGCAAAAAATGAACTCCGTTGGTTTAAGCTGGTTCTTCCTGTGAAATAGTTTCTCGGTGGTTGCACTATATATTCATGGCTTAATAATTGTCAGCTTGATTCACATCCGCTGCTCTGTGACAAATGAATACTCATGGACACATTAATAAGATCAGTTACATTGGACTTTTAAGACTGTTTTTCCCTTGCTCTCGACTTGAAATCGCCATGAAGTCTAATTTATCAGTCGGTAAGAGCTTGGGCTGGAGTTAAAATGACAGAGCTACGTAATTAAATATGAGGCTGTGAAAGTTACTTTAATTTACGACATAATATTTTTAATCTCAGTCTTTCAGCCGTGTGTGCATGAAGGATTAACTGATTGACATATATCAAATGATTTAAGAAAAAAACATTATTCTTAAGTCACTGACAGTTTCATGAAAGCGTTCAGCAATTTTTCATTCGCAGGAGCAAATTCATACCTTATTTTACTATTATATATGTATTGGTTATATTTTCCTATTCTAATCTACTGGAGGAACTTTCCATAATAACTGTTTTCTTTATGCTATCGCCAATTGCTATTCAAGAGATTTTAATTTACCCACTTATTTTGAGGTAAATTTTGCCCTCTACAATAGACAACAAACCAGACAGAAATTGACATAGCAGAATTTGTTTTATAAGAAGAAACGGTACGCAGAAATTCCCGCTGTCCCTTTTGCTTACAACCTGTTTTTACCATTCTTTCTTTCCGGGTGGCTAGCTACCTTTCAGGCTTTCAATTCTGAAGCCGATCAAAGATTAATGAGTGTAATCGCCGGAAAAATCATCGCTCGCTTCACTGAAATTTATCCCAAGCGCAAAATCAGTCCTCAAATACACCATTACGCTGCAGACCCCGTGAAAAATTTGAGATTGAATAAAGTTATCTGGAGAAGAAAGCTTTCAAAAGCGAGATTTCTTGCACAAATGCACCAATTCAACGCCACGTCAATTTCAAACAATCCATTGCTTTCATTAACGCCGCACATATCGATCTAAATGTAGAATAACGGACTGTATTTTACGGAATGAGGACTATAACCAAGTTCGTTCAAAGATTCCCACAACAGCTTATTTACCTCCGCCATTTCAACTGGCGGAGCACTAACCTTCTTATGGCCTGTTCGCACGTGTGCTATGAGCACCTTAATATCAGATGTATCAGTAGCTGTAGCCTTGCACTCGTCATCACTCACGCATTCGACTCCATAGCACTTAGCAGCCGAGAGGAAAGCAACATCACAAGTCGCAGTTTTCCAACCAAGATCAATACAAGACACCATGCTGGTAACTTTACCAAGCTTTCGAAAAGTTCCTGCTCCTATGCCTCCTTTTAGCGTGACATTCTCCTCGATTTTGGTGTTCTTACAGTTTTGTAGGTAGTTTGACGAGCTCTTTACTAGATTCATACACGAATAAATGTTAGTGGAACAGCACTTCACGCACACACAACTGGAAAACTTAGCAAAGCGATCTGCTACAAGTTAACTTACCTCCGCAGAGAGCACACAACCAAATGAACAGTAAGCCACTGTTCATCTTTCTTCCGAGCATCACAGCCCCGAATCCCATTCACATGGCAACATCATTCAAATTTCTCTCTTTAAAAAAATAGCTTAGAAAAAATAGCGTCATAAAATAAAATACCTATTAATTTAACCGGGTTGTTTTTTAAGTTTTTGCCATATTAGAGTTGTATTCTTTTGTTATCAAGGAAAGAACTCGATCCCGCCGAACAATAGAACACAATTACATCATCAAGATCTCAAATTTTGTCCAATCATGCTCCGTGTTTTGCTCACGTGATCTAGAAGTGTAAAATCCGCCGGGATATTCTTTATGTACAAGAATATCGTCATACAAGAGGAATTTCTATGGACGAGTGTTAGGAGGAAGTGACTGGTACCCCAAAATACCTGTATTTGTATGACATAGTAGAAATAAAAACATATCTTGATAGTCCATACACCTTGTAATTTTTTTTTCGCTTTAAATTTGTTAAACAAAGATTCATTTTTTATTAACTTGTCCGATGCAGCCTCCGCGGAAATCTTATCGACATACCGCCGACGAGGGTTGTAACAGACACAGTATACGCTAGGTTTATATCTCCAATTGGATTTTGTGTTACAGTAAGAAAGCGTATTATAAAGGTTATCTTGCGTGACAGACAGACAGACAGGAGAAAAAAAACGGCATCCAGAGTCACCCTACTTTAATTAGGGCTAAGTCAACTTTGCCTCAAGTTATGTTTTCGTGTTTTGTTTTTTTTTTATTACTATTATCATTTGGTCTTATTTTGGTTTTCTTCGCAAATTACTTGAACTACCGAGACATAGCTGCGTTCAACCTGGTGTTTGAAGCTTGGTGCGCCCCAACCGATAGGCGAAGCGTTTTGTTAATGGCCTTATATTGTCGTAGGTTTTATTTCACAGATATTTATTTCAAAGGATCAAAAAACGTACGTTCCCCTCGTCACTTAGTTTTATAATTCGTCCCTTAGTTTTATAATCGCATGCAACGTTTTCCTCGTTAAATGATATAGATTATCACGAGTTTCAAGTGGTAAAAAAGTCAGTGCATTTTTTTGTATGTTGATCGACGTAAGTTGAGAAACTGTCTTTATTTCCACCATCTTAGAACGTGTTGTATATTTTTTTAAACTGTGCAAACAGTACTTGCAAATTCAAAACAACAAATCAACCGGAAACAATAACTGTAGAGCCATTGCTCTCCGTCAATTATATTACTGTGTTTCTCCTTTGCAGATATTAGGTACAACTTCTTCTTCAATTCGAAGGGTGATCTTCATTCTTGAACATTTCAAATAGGTTCAGTGAAGATAGATTCTCTATTCGTATTACTGTCAAGAGAAAACCACTGCTTGTGATTTAACAAGAAGACATTTAGCGAAAGTTAAGGACCGTAACGCTCATTTCTGAACCATGAAGTAATATAAATGAATTTCCCTTTAAATTCATCGAACCGAATGGGCACCTATATCGCTTGACTAGCCAAGTGACTCGTGTGGCAGATTTCTACCACGGTTGGTTGCCTCGGACAAATTTTTCTGAGAGCAGCGAATGAATGTCATACATTACCTGAATGGAGTTAAGTTGAGTTAAAACAAATGTGCCCTTGGTTATATATCATAATTGACAGAATCGAACCAGCCAAAAGGCAGGCTTCAGTTACTCAATTGCTCTAAAATTGACCAATGACAGCAGACACGTTCTGTCAAGAGTGTTCGTGCTCGTTTAGGGGATCATTTTGAAACTAATTTTTTGGAAAAATTTGTGGGAATAAGTAAATTAAAGGCATAAGATTATACGGTAAAAAAATCATAAAGTTCCACGTTATTACTTGTAGATCTGGAAACAGAAGTAATTGCTCGTCACATAGTGTGATGTCAATTGTAGGAAAGCTGTTTTGACAACCTGAGCGGAAGCATCGTTGATATAAACCTTGGAGCCTTTAACTCGTTCTCAATGTCGCCTCCTCCTAATTTTCTCATTGCACAACAAGATTCCTGTTTCAAAATTATGATTCGACAGAAAAAAAAGGTTTCTGTTTCGCAAGAGGACATTACCCTGTATCAACTTCTAAATAAGTGTCCAAGTGTAGAGAAGAGTAAGAAACAAATTAAAATATCTAAAAATCCATTCATGTTTATTAACATTCTTATCTTCAATTATAAAACTATGCTTTTTTTGTAATTTAATCTAATTATCGTGCTTTAATTTTATAGACATCTTAAGTGACCAATTATGTACAGTGGGTTTTAATTTGTGAAATTCCAAATTTGTACATATTTACCCAGTTTAGATCAAGTCTTTAAAAGGTAGTTAGGCTAGTAACACGTTGTAACAGAGACTTTAAAAAAAAACGAAGAGAAAAATTTACTTTAGTTAGTTTGATATTCCATGGATCTTTATTTTGTGTCAAGTGCTGTATTTTTCGATCATGTGAGCGTTCAGGTAGATCTTAACTCTTTTTCTCTCACAAACTGAAAAGCAATTCACTCCCTCAAGGAATGTAGTTGAAAACAACCTTTGGGCCAAAAGGCCTTGAAGTAAAGCCTCGTCAGCAAACACGCATCCCCAAGTATTCAGATTCTGAGCCACTACTTCTTGACGTAAAAAAAAAAAAACTAAACTCCTATACGAAGCATTGTTGATTCCATTAAAACTACCGTTTTACTATTGTAACTATGATCAAAGAACGCCTTTGAGGCTCAGAATGTTCCTGAGTTGGGCCAGTCCTTGAAGTTCATCTTCTCTATCCTCATCTTCATCGCCGCTTTCTTCATCCCCGCTATCCCCGCTGTCTCCACTGTCTCCGCTGTCTCCGCTGTCTCCGCTGTCTCCGCTGACCCCACTGTCTTCTTCCTCTCCGCTCGCTCCACTATTCTCAGCTCCGCTATCCTCAGCTCCGCTATCCTCAGCTCCGCTATCTTCAGCTCCGCTATCCTCATTCCCACTACCTTCGGCTTCATTGTCTTCAGCTCCGCTCTCACCGCTGGACTCGTCTCCACTTTCCTCATCCTGCTCTACATTTTCTCCCGACCCGCTTTGGTCACCGCTATCATCATTACTTTCACTGTCCCCACTACCACTTTGATACTCTTCGACTTCCTCAATGCCTCCACTCCCAGAGACCTCTGCTTCAGCCTCTTTACTTGGGATGCTCGGCAAACTGCTGCGTTGGCTGGCATCCACGTCGATACTGCCTTTGACGTTATTGTCATCAGCTTCAAGATATTCTTCTTCGACATCTTGCACTACGTTAGGGTGGAATCTTTCAATTCGCGGCATCACCGACTTTGGTTTAGGTGCTGCAGGATTTTTTATTGTAAAAACAATGATAAGATAGGTATTTTGATAAATAAATGTATGTCTCTATTTTGTGCCAACGTAATTAGTTTCCTCTTGAAAGAAAAAAGAGACAAGATAACAGGTAGCAAGTTATACTCTCAGTTGCATGGTTTTCTGTATTTAAACTCATTTAACCCCAAAGAGCAGATTTGAATGGAATGAGATGCAAAACTGCTTCGGTTTCGTTTCACCTTGCTCTGTGATTGATCTAGTGTACTCGCACTACTTCCCTAACCAATTGGACATGAAATTAAATCAATTCTGATTGGTCACACATGTCTTGCCGCTTCAAACAGTTTGCCGTTCTTCACCTTGAATACTTATTGGTTAATGGAGATGTTAACTTTTGTTCTGATTGGCCCTTTGATCTCACCGTTTCGACAATTAATTCAAAGGATAACAAAAACGGCTTTACTGTAATGTATACATTACCAAAGCTTATTTCTCCTCTCTTGACATAAGCCACTGTGGGGTTGGTGTGGTGTGTCTCTACCGGAGCTGGTTTAGGCTGGCAGTACTGCTTATTAGTACAAAAGACCGTGTAGCACTTATCCGCCATCATCATAGCCACATGGCATTGGTCCTGTTCACAGCATCGCTTTATGCACGAGTTAATGTCTGTGACACCTTTGTGATGCGTCAATTTTCCAGATACCATGCCGGCCTGGAGAATTGTCTTGTTCCTTATCTCGCCATCCAGGCGACACTCTTCTTCTCGGTTTGTTTCGGTTCGTATAACGGGAGTTCCGTCTTTAATAGTAAGAACAGGATAAGAATAAAAATATTTTTTTTTGCGGTGAAACATTCAGGTTATCTTTGGTTTAAGACAACACTGAACTACGGCAACACAGCACACCTCATTTCGGCCGATGAACTCTTACAATGATGTCAGAACCAAACATATCTTAAAAATATTGGACTTACAGAAACAACGTCATTCTGAATTCTGACTCATAAATCAAAAATTTAATTTTACATGGACTGCGCTCGGTTTAAATTTTGGAAGTGGATTGAAATAGAAAGTTCTGAACTACGCCGAGGAGTCAATCCACTCTTTCCAAACATCATGAACTACATGTTCTTCAATCATTTTTTTTTTCCAGCTGGAAATCTTGAATACATGAAACAGTTTTAACACCCAAAAACGCCAAAGTGTTTCATTAGTAGCATAGGTTATGTTGTAGAATCGTTCCAGCTGCCGGCCAACGGTAGAAAGCAAGGAAGAGCTGAGACAACTTCGATAGAGTAAGAATACTTGCCGTAGAGATACCAGTTTGGTTTTTTAGCCAGGAACTGTTTTGCGAAGCTACACGTTTAAAGCGGGAGATTTTGGTGATAACCGACGTTTTTAACAAATGATTTCAGCCCACTTCCTTTCCTCATGGTAATATGCAATCTTAAGTTGTTTATAAGCCCTTACCGTCTCTTAATTTTACACCAAACTTTCGTGTAACGATGTATTGCGTGGATCTGTCCAAATTAGTATCATTGCGCCAAGCGTCTTCGTCGGGAATCGTGCGACAGCTTCTCTCGCT